AAATGTAGATAGTTGGTTTGACCTTATTTCTTACACTTTTTCGTGTTGTCAGCACGACCTAAATGAGGGTACCCTTAGTAGTCATCATACTTTCCAGCATCTGATTGTTAAATTGGTACATTCTCATGCGCTTCACCGGCATCGCAATCGGAAGTATCGCTGAGACCCGGTCTCCTTAGCACCAGGCCGCGACTTACCAAAGTGACACGTAAAGGCGATCCTTTACCAACTCTGCGAAAATCGTCGCGACTTCGATGCCACAAGACATGTGACTGGGTGGCATCTTCAAGCTCTCCCCGCCAGCCCGATCAAGTTGCGTGAACGAGATCACTTCTCCGCGTCCTCAAAGCAGATGTGCATGTGTTGTGCTCTTTACTTTGATAGGCCAGACAGAGGGCCTGTCTGTTGAGATCACTTGGACTCAATCGAAAAGCACTACAGGCTTGGCTCATCCGTATCTGAGGCTGGGGTAGGCAATCGCCTGTGGTCTGACCTCGGTTGTTCGATTGTCCGAGGGCTGTGACCGGATATTGATTCCATCGCCTAGAGGGGGTCGATAGGCAGGGAGCACAGCCCAATGGTACCGAGGTCAATTGCGGCTTTCGTCCATATGTCTTGGAGAACTCGTTAGTTCAATCGATGCGTGAAGTGATATAAAAATCTAGGCAATTGTAACCGAGGCCAAACTGCACAAGCAACAGGAAAGCATGAATTCGAGAAGTGACTATCCGTCCGAGGTGGAGCAGCAAGTGAACCATAGCATCGAGATGCACCTATCCGGTGAGTATACGTACCATAGTCTGTCTTCTTTGTGCTTGTCGGACAGCGTGGCGTCGCCGGAGTTCAGCGAATTCTTTCGCTTCTGCGGCTGCCGCATGCGCCGGGCAGCGGATCTCTTGAGGGGCTACCAGACGACCCGAGGCGGCAAGTACCCTAGCAACGAGTCGTCCAGTTCCGGTCTGAAAAGTTTGGTTCAAATCCCCAACCCTAGCCAGTATGAGTCAAAGAGCAGCGAGTTCATCGGCCATCTCATCGACTTGGCCATTGAGATGGAGCGACAAACGGAGCACCAGCTTCGCAGCCTGTGCCACCAGTCGTCTGTAAGTCAGGACTCGAGCACGCCCTGCTTTGTGCAGAAGCGTCTACTCAAGAGCCAGCGCTTCGCCATCAAGTCTCTCGTCATGCACCAGACGGGCCTGCGCCAGAGCCAGGACATCAGTCTCTATCGAAGCATCGTGATGCATCCACTCATCAGCAAAGTGAACAGTTGCACAAGCCATTCGGAGTCCTCCTTCCAGACATCCGGCCCTCGGAGGAGCCATGAATCGACCCTTTGCTCCTGTTTACTCTCCCATCTCATCGTCAGCTCCCTGAGCAACTAGAGCTATGGTGACCGACTACAAATAATAAATACTCATTTGATCGGCACACTCTTCTCCTATGCGCAAACGCCAGTCTGAAAGACGGCATTCGTGTGATCTATAATCAAACCAGGTCATATAAAGTGGCGTCATCGATAAGGCCAACGTG